CTCCGATTACCACGGTTGACTACGTACGGTGCAAAAGAAATTCAACATTCTGGTACCGTGCATCACCTCATGTTTATGTCTCGGCAAGGTAAGGTAATTTACCATTTTTACCGGGTAAAAGGGTAAAGGTGTTGACCATGTCAAGGGGTAAGGTAAAGGTAACATGGAAGAATTACCGGATAGGGTAAAGGTAAAGGTAGCGCGAGATATTACCCAGTAAATACCTTGTTTACTGCTCGCTAATAGCTCCGTGGCGCAGTCCGTGGCCTCCATTTGAAATGTGAATCATTGATGTCGGACCAGATGGAGATGGACCACGTTCTTGAGGTAAAGGATGAGGTCGAGGATTCCAGCAACGGCATTTCCGGGGTCGCTGCGAATAGCAATCGAAAGAGGCAGTGGCATGCGTTCCCGTGGGAGCACACGCAGGATTGGATGGAGGGTGATCCCCGTGTGCAGCAAGGAAAGCGGCAGTGCGTGCACTGCCGCAAGTGGTTTTTCCTCCCACACGAACGCATCGGGGTAGAAAGCCCACTTCAAGAAGCACAACATGCTCGCCCCAGGCAGCGAGGTCAGGACGTTGGCGTCGGCGAGCACACGCTGAGCCGGCCAGGAATCCCGGATCGCCTCCTGGTAAAGTTTGAGAACGCGGTGGTTGATTTTGTTATCCAAGGTGCAATTTCTTTGCGAGCCGCCAGCAGCGACAAATTCAAGACCTTGGTCCACACATTGACGCAGGGATACAAGGGCCCATCGACCCTCACCATCATTCGCAGGATTGTCGAGCTTCACGCCATCATGCTGCCCTTCGTCGGGGCGTTCTTCTCCAACCTGGACGTTGCAATCTCGCTCACCATCGACGGGTGGTCAAACCCCAACCTGAAGGGATTTTGGATGGTCACGGTGCACTGGATCGACACAAAATCTGGTGCATCAAAATACATGCTGCTGACGATCCTCGATGTGCAGTCCGGAAGGGGTGTTGGCAAGCGCATTGGCACCGCTCTGTTTGAGCACCTCCAAAGCCTCGGGCACAATGTCTCGACCAAGCTGTTCGCTGTCACCAGCGACAATGGCTAGGATGCGATCAATGCTGTCAAGACGCGGACGCCGGATATGAGCAGTTGCGGGCTTGCCACCATATTCGCTGCGCGGGTCATTCGGTCCAGATCGGCGTCGTCCAGGTTCTCAAACTGATCAAGTCGACCAAAGCCGAACTGCGCAAGGCGCTCGTCAATATCAGGCGCAGCAAGGTCGTCCGGCAGTCGTACCGCCGCGAGGCCGAGATCGCCAAGTTCGTCAGCAAGGAGCCGACGCACCAAGACTCGCTGACCAGGTGGAATTCGACGTTTGACATGGGCGACGACACCATCAAGAAGCATGTCCCATTGAACATTATCATGGTGCACTTCCAGGATGTGATCGGCGTCGGTGCTTTCTCTGAAGTGCAGTGGGCAAACATCGAGGGCGTGACAGCATTCCTGCGAATGCCACGCCAGGTCATGACCTCGTTGTCGGTGGACCGCAAGTCGACATTGGATCTCGTGCCGGTGACAATGGAGCACCTGATCCGTCATTGCGATTGCGGTGAAGCCACCCTTAGAGCGATCGATGAGTCCTTGACCGCGACGGGGATGAAGACCGAGCCGGTGCGGTACCGCGACTTCCTGGTTTAGGAACCCGCCATTGTGGCATCCTACTTGAATCCACAGCTGCCGAAATGACAGACAAAGACGAGCTGGCTACACTGAAGGCCATGATCCGCTCTGTCCTGCAGCATCGCTACTCGGACGTGCTCGCGATCCCGTCGACGGTAGTCGCTGCCCATATGGAGGAGCGGTCGCTGTTCAGCACCCTATTCGGCAACGTCGGCAGCCCCATCGACGACGGCGATGAAGTCGATAGTTTTCTGAGCATGGGCGTCACGACCGCTAGCACCTTCATTGATGTAATGCAGTGGTGGTCTCCCCATGAAGAGTTGCTCCCCGCCCACTACAAGATGGCTTGCAACTACTTGTAAGCGCCAGCGAAGTCAACTCCTTGCGAACGCGTGAATAGCGGAGCCGGGCAGGAGTTCACATGCGTTCGCCAGTCGCTGTCGTCGACGCTCTTCATCCAGTCCATGTGTTTGCGCTCATGGATCGCGGCCGGCTGCCTGAAGGTCCCGTCTAACTGGGCCCAGGATCTTATTGCTCGTCGTTCGTCCGAGGACAACGGCAATGACGAACTTGATCAGGTTGTTGATGAGATCGTCATCGACCAAGACGACTGGGATGAGGTTATGGAGGGCGGTGTCGTCGACAGCCTCAACGCCCGATTCGAGAGTATTCTATACGAATAAAGCGCTCTACCTAGGATTTACCTGTTATAAACATTTTTCATGTGTAGTACCCCGGTAATTACCCTGTAATCGGGTAATTTGTATGGAGTAAGGGTAAAAGGTAGGGTCAAGGTAGGCTCGTTGCTTTTTAACTTTTACCTTACCTTGTCCCGGACTACGCATGTTAGAGAAAGACCCGCCGGCTCGTGAAAGGTGATATTACAGAAATTACTTTAAGATCACTTCAGTCAATCTCTTGACCACACCTAGATGAGCTGCAGTTCCTCGTGCACTCTGCTATAGAGATGCCCAGAGCGTGGCGGCCAAACGAAAAAGTGTAATTCTCACAGTGGAAAACGTTATTCGCCCTAACGGGGATTAGCGGACGAGACCATCAACGCATTAGAAGTTGGAACCCAGTTTAATTATGGGTGGCTAACCCCCAAATTCGAATTCATTACATCAGCAAGCATTGAATTAGTGTTCTGACCCTTGATCTGCCCAGCCAGTTCAAAAACACGCTTTTTATATAGAATTTATACTTGACTAGCTGTACTACCCAGCTTCGCCCGAGACTTGGACCCGGCTTCGCCCGAGACTTGGATCCACCACGCCCGGCCGCCTTTGTCTCCCCAGTGGCGATGTTCACACACCACACCAGTTAATTGTTTGAGGCTGAGTCGACCTAGGGGAAGCCCAGGACCGGTTAGAATAATCGTGACTGGTGTTGACCGTGAGCGGGAATCGAACTCGGGTCGCCGGGTTCGTAGCGCAGCGAGCTAACCGCTACACGCCCCAGGCAGCGAGGTAATGTATGCTAGCATACATTATCAGAGTTATGTTTTTTGTTTGTATTATGACTGCAGGTATTGTGGTATATGCAAACATGACTCCTTGTAAAAAAAAAGGTGTCAGTTTTGTTGGCAGATAGAAGGGTAAAAAACCAATCATCATATTTTTTACTGGCAAATGAGGTTCCAATGGTGTAAATACTCTTTGGTTCTTTCGGTAAAGTCGAGTCGGTAGTACTTCACTTGATTACTCTGTCGTGGTCAAAATCTTGTAATAAAAATTTCGTCCACTTCCCGTCAATTCCACATTTGCACACCTACTCAGATCCGGTGACAATGCATGCCTGTATCGAAATCGGCACCAATAAATCGAGTAATTCGCTACTTTAAAGCAATTGACATTTTGTATGGACGCCTTATTATTTATATATATTTGTGTGTAGGTCAAAAACGCCGCGGTCCCTAAACTGTGGAATTGATTCGCACACGACGCAGACGCCACGTGTCTCAGGCGCCATTGACGCACCTCTCAAAGATCGTGAGTTGAACGAAGTTGTCAATAAAACCGTTGTTTTTAAAAAAAACTTTTTAAAATGAGTTTATTATTCCCTCGAAAGGCTCAACCATAATAGTACAGTATTTTATCTCCATGTCTTCTATCGAGTCTGATTGATAGTTCGTGGTTGATGGTCGAAATGCCTTTTCTAAAATGCAGCTTTCTCATGTGGTTGGTTAATCCCTACATTATTTGGTTTAGTAACTAAGCTGAAACCAATATTTACTCTCATTGAAGCAATTTAGTCCTCAAGCTATTCAATTACTTAATTTGCAATGGGTATAATTAGATTCAATACCAGTTTTTGTAATCTTCATTTAACCATCTCATTTGCATTTATTTTACAGTTTTGTTTGCTCCATTAACTTAAATGTAAAGTTACTGTCCAATTTGTATTCATAATAACTCCTCACACATCTCTATGCATTCATCATCACTCTAGTCATTGATTGAAATCTATTAATCATTTACCTCGTTACGTGCCTTGGAAGTTGGAACAACAAACTTGGTATAAGCTCGGTGTAGATGCAGTGTGCTGGCTTTAATTTTAATTTGTTCCTACACGCAAACTGATATTGCTAAGTTGGGTATAATACAGAACATCAAACACTGTGCGTATAAATATGCCAATGTGACGAATGAACAACGTTTGTTTTTATTAGTGCCTAACTGTTGTGACATGTGGATGAGAAAATGGATTCTGATGAAGAAGATGGAACAGCATCTAAAATGTGTGTGAAAAAAGCATGTAGAAGATGCACACTTGAGATTAAACTTAGACAGAGGAGCATGTGGATTAAGGAACATGCACAAGATAAGTACATCATTTTGACTGTTAAGTGAATGGCATTGATCAGGACTCATCGCTGAAAGTAACAATGGCCGGTGGTCGAGACTAATGATGGAGCGGAAGCCAAAGGAGTTGGCTTGCCGTAGAGAACGTTCACCACGGAGATGGAGTGATGTGATCACCTCGTGTGTAGCAGCTAGATGTATGTATGCTAAACTTCTTTCGCACCATACATAACCGACCGTGCTAATCAGAGGTGCGAGGGAAGGACAAAAAACTAAACACAAAAAGCGGTTATAAAGAAATGAATTTTCGATCTAAATTGAAAAGTTGGTTCCTAATATCGGAAGGAAGAGCATTCCAGACGGCCGCAGAAGCGCATCTGAAAGCGCACGATGCAGTGACCACCGTCTTTATTAGATGGATCACTGTATCGCAATATCTAGAATGATAACAACTTACGGAGGCATTCAAGAAGGATTGGATATTTATTGGCAAATGGTGATGATGCAGTGTTTTGTGACACAGTATACATTGTGCTTTTTAAAATGTATTCGGAAGAGATATAATTTATTTATGTAGGGTTTATAGCACATCCACCAAGTAAAACAAGTTGTTAAAAAAATACAATTTCTATTTTATAAAAAAAATACATAAATAATTTTATTTGTTCATCCTAACTGTAAGACAGATCAGCAAAAAATAAATGTATTACTACAATAGTGCTTTAATATCAATATAATAAATTAACACTTAATACTACCTAAGGAACAGTTGATAAATGACTGTTTATTTAGAAGGAATCCAGGATACCTTTTGAATCTACCAGCAATACCAGGTCAGGTAATTGTTACATTTATTCTAATAGGCAGACCCTTGAGTGTTATCCACTTATGTGCATGAATTTTCTCCAATACCTCGGTTTTTTGCCACATGTCAAACAAACATGAATGGAATTGGCCAAACATCCCAATACAGGACCAAAATATTCCAATACAGGACGCTAATGAAAAGGACTCTTGAGATTCATTGAGGTTTTCATGGGTAAATTAAAGAGAGCATTTATAAAGAATAATCGAGGTTCGAACAGAATGAGACATTAACTCATCCAATAAATACAGAGTCGATTTAAATACATTAAGCTGGTGTAGTATGTTTAGTTTATGTGAAGCCGACACTGAATATACAATACTTACATTAAAACAGAGAGGAATCCCCGATCTATTAAGCTCTGGCAAGGACCACATTACACATTCTGCTATTATTACTAATGGAGCTGAAAACCTTAAATCCCCTTTCAGCACTGACAACTCCCTCCTGCATGTCCACACACCAGCTTCCTCCACAACTACCATCAGCTGCCCAGTGTGAACCACTGCACCGCCATGTTTCTCGATCACAGGTGGAGATAATCAGGAATGGAATTTCTGATATCTGACTGCTTCTCCTCTCGCCCCCTGTCTCTCTTTGTCTCCCCACCACCACACATCCGGAGAACTTTCCGTGTGTCACCAATAACTTCACTACAATCATTTACATTCTAAAAAAAATAATTCTTCCAACCTCTATCCTCCGCTCACCAAACTCACCTGTCACTGCCTACTCCCCCAATGAGTGACCATCTCTTTCTTACTCTAAAGGTCAAATAGTCCTCCTGTCACTATCACCATCCCCTTGTTGTGTTGCAGGGCCTTGAAATGCGTTTGCATTTAGGCGCTTTTATAAATCCACATTGCATTGCAGAGTATTTTACTTGTATCATACTTATTTAGCATACACTTTCATATACGGTTAAAATGAAAGTGTAAATAAAAGTCTTCATGGAATTACATTGGCTACCTGGATATAAAAACCCTCGTGAAACATCAAAGTAGGAAAGTGGTGTATTTGGATCTATGTGAAGCGCTCCTTACAAATGTAAATTATTATTCTTATTATGATATAAGGGATGAAGGATAAACTTCCTTAACACAACATCGTATGGTGTAAATGATTACAGCCAAAGTCCTGGACCTAATGGATGTTAGTTGGTGTGATATTGATTATTATTCAATGTGCTGAATTCGTGCCTTGGAAGCTCACACTTTTCTGAAGGCAGCACAAGAGAGGCAACCACAGTGATACAGACCGACATCGCAGATCGCCACGCGTTGGATTTATAACATTAATGACTTAACAAGAAGGTTTTTTTTATATGAAGAAGTCAACTCGTGGTCAAATTGGGGAACTGACCTATAGAATATTGTCATGGCACAAGCATGCATTGGATAATGCTTAACAACCACCATGCAATTATGGGTTCTTGATCTCTGACAGCTGAAATTGTTCAATGTCTTCACCAGCACTCCTTAGGCGATGTGGTAAATTACACTCCTTTTTCTAAGTCACGCATCCATCAAAGACACACACGCAAGATATTTGTTAATTACCTGTTAATGCAAGGTTTTAATCAATGTAGGATTGCTGAAATGCATGCATAAAACAATTAAAAAAACACGTAATGATTTAAGTCACGTTAAGATCGTAAAAAGTGTCAGTGTTCAAAATATCACGCTAATATGAAATGAGCTACACAGTACTCACCTCTTGCATAAGTAGTGCACCGCAAGTAGCAGCAGCATCAGCAGCAGGCTCCCACACACCACTGATGCGGCAATAGTTGCATTTCCTGAAAATGGAATACAAAAGAGCCATGTGTTTATTATGATTAGACTTGTTTAGCCAGGATGATTTCCCTGAGTCATGGCTTTTTTTTCAGGAGGGTCCTGCCAGGGTCTTTGCAGTGGGGGGGGGGGGGGGGAATGTTGTTATTTGAAAACCAAATCTGGTAATTTGCACATACATTTCCATATTTGAGCAATATCAGGAATATATTTTCTGTTAGCTATGAGAGGTATCTAAATAATCCACAGGAAACTCACTATAAAACACTGGGAGACCATACACACTCCACACAGAAAGGCGGCCAAGTCGGGGAATCGGAACCAGAACCTTCTTGCTGTGAAGTATTGTTACCACGGCACCACCACACCCTATTGAACTACATGTTGGAAGCACTTAACTGTGCTGCATATTGTTTCGTAAAATACAACAGTATTATATTTCTATTCTTTGGTTCTTTCGGTAAAGCCACGTAGATAGAAAAATTATAATAAAAATATCACGACGTTTCGATCGCAACACAAGCAATCGTCTTGGAGGACGTCACCTGTTCATGATTATTAATGAGGGGGGCTGGTTAACGTGGATTGACGTCCCGCGCGGGACACACAGATATTCTTGGCTCATTATAGTAGTAAATATTAAAGCATCACTATGTTTAAAGGGTTCAAATGAGGGGTGCCTGTGTCTATAACATCATATAATTGTTATGTAATAAATCAACCCTGTGGTATGAATTCCAAATGTGAAGTGTACGCATTGCACCTATTTTAATGAAGATGGTTATTTGCGTGTGCGTGCATCTGTGTTTCATAAAGGGCTTGAATGTCACCTCAAATTAACTGGCCCCAAGGTGGGACTGTGCTACTAAGCGACTGACTTGGAGGTGGGCTGCCACCCACACATGACCTAACTTGTGTATGACCGAACTACCCTGAATGCACCTGGTCACATCAGATCGCACAAGCTTAGTAGGCTGGTTAATACTTGGAGAGAATGTCGCCTCAGTTAATCAGATGCGGTAGACTTGGGCTTTGAGGCATCCAGGAGATGGCAACGAAGCAATGGATGAAATAAATATGTGCAGAGCTCTTGAGAGTTACCCAAACTCACAGTACGTGTAATATAATTGGTTCACCATCCCAATGTAGGACCATCATGATTAGGAATCTTGAGACTCACTGATATTTTCCTGGATAAATTAAGAACATTACTATTGTGATAATTTGCTGGGTGACTGTGATAGCGATTCAATTGCTCCAGGCAAATAAGTATGATGGCCTAACTGAACCGTCTTAAGGGGGAAATGCATGTTTTTGTTAGCCAGTCTCACTCCATTGCTTAATTCAGTGGTGGCTGCCCCCCAAGTGATTCACAGCTGATACTGCAAAGTGTCAGTGATTGCGCAGCTTTTCACGGTTGAGCTGCACAGCTCCTCCGATGGTGTATTCGGATGGCAGCGTGTGTTGTTCTTCACGATATCCGACAGGCTGGGAGGTTCTCGAGTGACTAAATTCAAGCCAATTGGAGCCACAGAGTCTGACATCGTGCCAAAGAACGTGGCGGTAAAGCCCGAGAACACACGGCAGGGTCGTGGAGTGAATGATACTTACGGCTAGTGTTGGGGCTGAAGTCCGTCTGGGAGATGGACACGGTCACAGTGGGCTTCACCGTGCTTGAGGCCACGTAGTGCGTCGATGAGAATGAACTTGATATTGAACTGGGGATTGTGGAAGATGAGAAGGTGGATCCAACGACTGAACTTGCGGGTGGCTGTGTGCTCATGATCAGGCTGGATGGAGTAGCTGTGATGGTAGAAATCGTTCCTGTTGAGACTGAACTTGATATGGAAATGGGAATTGTGGAAGATGAAAAGGTGGATTCAAGTGCTGAACTTGTGGGTGTCTGTGTGCCCATGATCACAATAGATGGAGTAGCTGTGTTAGTGGAAATTGTTCCTATTGAGACTGAACTTGATATGGAAATGGGGATTGTGGAAGATGAGAAGGTGGATTCAACTGCTGAACTTGTGGGTGGCTGTGTGCTCATGATCAGGCTGGATGGAGTAGCTGTGATGGTGGAAATTGTTTCTGTTGAGACTGAACTTGATATTAAAATAGGGATTGTAGAATATGAAAAGGTGGATTCAACTGCTGAACTGGTGGGTGTCTGTGTGCTCATGATCAGGCTGGATTGAGTCACTATGCTGGTGGAAAGTTCCGCTGTTCCTGTTGAGCCTGAACTTGATATTGAAATGGGGATTGTGAAAGATGAGAAGGTGGAATCAACTGCAGAACTTGTGGGTGGCTGTGTGCTCATGATCAGGCTGGATGGAGTCACTATGCTGGTGGAAAGTTCCGCTGTTCCTGTTGAGCCTGAACTTGATATGGAAATAGGACTTATTGAAGATGAGACGGTGAATTCAACGGCTGAACTTGCTGGTGGCTGTGTGCTCATGATCAGGCTGGATGGAGTCGCTATGCTGATGGAAATTTCTGCTGTTCCTGTTGAGCCTGAACTTGATATTGAAATGGGGATTGTGGAAGACGAGAAGGTGGATTCAACTGCTGAACTTGCTGGTTGCTGTGTGCTCATGATCTGGTTGGATGGAGTAGCTGCGATGGTGGAAAGTGTTTCTGTTGAGACTGAACTTGGTATTGAACTGGGGATTGTAGAATATGAAAAGGTGGATTCAACTGCTGAACTTGCTGGTGACTGTGTGCTCATGATCAGGCTGGATGGAGTAGCTGCGATGGTGGAAAGTGTTTCTGTTGAGACTGAACTTGGTATTGAACTGGGGATTGTAGAATATGAAAAGGAGGATTCAATAGCTGAACTTGTGGGTGGCTGTGTGCTCATGATCAGGCTGGATGGAGTCGCTATGCTGGTGGAAATTTCTGCTGTTCCTGTTGAGCCTGAACTTGATATTGAAATGGGGATTGTGGAAGACCAGAAGGTGGATTCAACTGCTGAACTTGCTGGTGGCTGTGTGCTCATGATCTGGCTGGATGGAGTAGCTGCGATGGTAGAAATAGTTTCTGTTGAGACTGAACTTGATATTGAAATGGGCATTGTGGAAGACCAGAAGGTGGATTCAACTGTTGAAGTTGCTGGTGGTTGTGTGCTCATGATCAGGCTGGATGTAGTAGCTGTGTTGGTAGAAATATTTTCCGTTGAGACTGAACTTGATATGGAAATGGGGATTGTGGAAGATGAGAAGGGGTATTCAACTGCTGAACTTGCTGGTGACTGTGTGCTCATGATCAGGCTGGATGGAGTAGCTGTGATGGTGGAAATAGTTTCTGTTGAGACTGAGCTTGATATTGAAATGGGGATTGTGGAAGATGAAAAGGTGGATTCAACTGCTGAACTTGCTGGTTGCTGTGTGCTCATGATCAGGCTGGATGGAGATGCTGTGATGGTGGAAATAGTTTCTGTTGAGACTGAGCTTGATATTGAATTGGGGATTGTGGAAGATGAAAAGGTGGATTCAACTGCTGAACTTGTGGGTGGCTGTGTGCTCATGATCAGGCTGGATGGAGTCACTATGCTGGTGGAAATTTCTGCTGTTCCTGTTGAGCCTGAACTTGATATTGAAATGGGGATTGTGGAAGATGAGAAGGTGTATTCAACTGCTGAACTTGCTGGTGACTGTGTGCTCATGATCAGGCTGGATGGAGTCGCTATGCTGGTGGAAATTTCTGATGTTCCTGTTGAGACTGAACTTGATGATACAATGGGGATTGTGGAAAATGAGAAGGTGGATTCAACTGCTGAACTTGTGGGTGTCTGTGTGCTCATGATCAGGCTGGATGGAGTTGCTGTGATGGTGGAAATTGTTTCTATTGAGCCTGAACTTGCTATTAAAATGGGGATTGTGGAAGATGAGAAGGTGTATTCAACTGTTGAACTTGCTGGTGGCTGTGTGCTCATGATCAGGCTGGATGGAGTCAATATGCTGGTGGAAATGTCTGCTGTTCTTGTTGAGTCTGAACTTGATATTGAAATGGGGATTGTGGAAGATAAGAAGGTGGATTCAACTGCAGAACTTGCGGGTGGCTGTGTGCTCATGATCAGGCTGGATGGAGTAGCTGTGATGGTGGAAAGTGTTTCTGTTGAGACTGAACTTGGTATTGAACTGGGGATTGTGGAAGATGAAAAGGTGGATTCAATAGCTGGACTTGTGGCTGGCTGTGTGCTCATGATCAGGCTGGATGGAGTAGCTGTGATGGTGGAAATAGTTTCTGTTGAGACTGAACTTAGTATTGAACTGGGGATTGTAGAATATGAAAAAGTGGATTCAATAGCTGAACTTGTGGGTGGTTGTGTGCTCATGATCAGGCTGGATGGAGTCGCTATGCTGGTGGAAATTTCTGCTGTTCCTGTTGAGCCTAAACTTGATATGGAAATGGGGATTGTGGAAGATGAAAAGGTGGATTCAACTGCTGAACTTGCGGGTGGCTGTGTGCTCATGATCAGGCTGGATGGAGTAGCTGTGATGGTGGAAAGTGTTTCTGTTGAGACTGAACTTGGTATTGAACTGGGGATTGTAGAATATGAAAAGGTGGATTCAATAACTGAACTTGTGGGTGGCTGTGTGCTCATGATCAGGCTGGATGGAGTAGCTGTGATGGTGGAAAGTGTTTCTGTTGAGACTGAACTTGGTATTGAACTGGGAATTGTAGAATATGAAAAGGTGGATTCAATAGCTGAACTTGTGGGTGTCTGTGTGCTCATGATCATGCTGGATGGAGTCGCTATGCTGGTGGAAATTTCTGCTGTTCCTGTTGAGCCTGAACTTGGTATTGAACTGGGAATTGTAGAATATGAAAAGGTGAATTCAACTGCTGAACTTGCGGGTGGCTGTGTGCTCATGATCAGGCTGGATGGAGTAGCTGTGATGGTGGAAAGTGTTTCTGTTGAGACTGAACTTGGTATTGAACTGGGGATTGTAGAATATGAAAAGGTGGATTCAACTGCGGAACTTGTGGGTGGCTGTGTGCTCATGATCAGACTGGATGGAGTCGCTATGCTGGTGGAAATTTCTGCTGTTCCTGTTGAGCCTGAACTTGATATTGAAATGGGGATTGTGGAAGATGAGAAGGTGTATTCAACTGCTGAACTTGCTGGTGACTGTGTGCTCATGATCAGGCTGGATGGAGTCGCTGTGTTGGTAGAAATAGTTTCTGTTGAGACTGAACTTGATATGGAAATGGGAATTGTGGAAGGTGAGAAGGTGGATTCAACTATTGAACTTGCTGGTGGCTGTGTGCTCATGATCAGGCTGGATGGAGTTGCTGTGATGGTGGAAATTGTTTCTATTGAGCCTGAACTTGCTATTAAAATGGGGATTGTGGAAGATGAGAAGGTGTATTCAACTGTTGAACTTGCTGGTGGCTGTGTGCTCATGATCAGGCTGGATGGAGTCAATATGCTGGTGGAAATGTCTGCTGTTCTTGTTGAGTCTGAACTTGATATTGAAATGGGGATTGTGGAAGATAAGAAGGTGGATTCAACTGCAGAACTTGCGGGTGGCTGTGTGCTCATGATCAGGCTGGATGGAGTAGCTGTGATGGTGGAAAGTGTTTCTGTTGAGACTGAACTTGGTATTGAACTGGGGATTGTGGAAGATGAAAAGGTGGATTCAATAGCTGGACTTGTGGCTGGCTGTGTGCTCATGATCAGGCTGGATGGAGTAGCTGTGATGGTGGAAATAGTTTCTGTTGAGACTGAACTTAGTATTGAACTGGGGATTGTAGAATATGAAAAAGTGGATTCAATAGCTGAACTTGTGGGTGGTTGTGTGCTCATGATCAGGCTGGATGGAGTCGCTATGCTGGTGGAAATTTCTGCTGTTCCTGTTGAGCCTAAACTTGATATGGAAATGGGGATTGTGGAAGATGAAAAGGTGGATTCAACTGCTGAACTTGCGGGTGGCTGTGTGCTCATGATCAGGCTGGATGGAGTAGCTGTGATGGTGGAAAGTGTTTCTGTTGAGACTGAACTTGGTATTGAACTGGGGATTGTAGAATATGAAAAGGTGGATTCAATAACTGAACTTGTGGGTGTCTGTGTGCTCATGATCAGGCTGGATGGAGTCGCTATGCTGGTGGAAATAGTATCTGTTGAGACTAAACTTGATATTGAAATGGGGATAGTGGAAGATAAGAAGGTGAATTCAACTGCTGAACTTGCTGGTGACTGTGTGCTCATGATTAGGCTGGATGGAGTAGCTGTGATGGTGGAAAGTGTTTCTGTTGAGACTGAACTTGGTATTGAACTGGGAATTGTAGAATATGAAAAGGTGGATTCAATAGCTGAACTTGTGGGTGTCTGTGTGCTCATGATCAGGCTGGATGGAGTCGCTATGCTGGTGGAAATTTCTGCTGTTCCTGTTGAGCCTGAACTTGGTATTGAACTGGGAATTGTAGAATATGAAAAGGTGAATTCAACTGCTGAACTTGCGGGTGGCTGTGTGCTCATGATCAGGCTGGATGGAGTAGCTGTGATGGTGGAAAGTGTTTCTGTTGAGACTGAACTTGGTATTGAACTGGGGATTGTAGAATATGAAAAGGTGGATTCAACTGCGGAACTTGTGGGTGGCTGTGTGCTCATGATCAGACTGGATGGAGTCGCTATGCTGGTGGAAATTTCTGCTGTTCCTGTTGAGCCTGAACTTGATATTGAAATGGGGATTGTGGAAGATGAGAAGGTGTATTCAACTGCTGAACTTGCTGGTGACTGTGTGCTCATGATCAGGCTGGATGGAGTCGCTGTGTTGGTAGAAATAGTTTCTGTTGAGACTGAACTTGATATGGAAATGGGAATTGTGGAAGGTGAGAAGGTGGATTCAACTATTGAACTTGCTGGTGGCTGTGTGCTCATGATCAGGCTGGATGGAGTCGCTATGCTGGTGGAAATTTCTGATGTTCCTGTTGAGACTGAACTTGATGATACAATGGGGATTGTGGAAAATGAGAAGGTGGATTCAACTGCTGAACTTGTGGGTGTCTGTGTGCTCATGATCAGGCTGGATGGAGTTGCTGTGATGGTGGAAATTGTTTCTATTGAGCCTGAACTTGCTATTAAAATGGGGATTGTGGAAGATGAGAAGGTGTATTCAACTGTTGAACTTGCTGGTGGTTGTGTGCTCATGATCAGGCTGGATGGAGTCAATATGCTGGTGGAAATGTCTGCTGTTCTTGTTGAGCCTGAACTTGATATTGAAATGGGGATTGTGGAAGATAAGAAGGTGGATTCAACTGCAGAACTTGCGGGTGGCTGTGTGCTCATGATCAGGCTGGATGGAGTAGCTGTGATGGTGGAAAGTGTTTCTGTTGAGACTGAACTTGGTATTGAACTGGGGATTGTGGAAGATGAAAAGGTGGATTCAATAGCTGGACTTGTGGCTGGCTGTGTGCTCATGATCAGGCTGGATGGAGTAGCTGTGATGGTGGAAATAGTTTCTGTTGAGACTGAACTTAGTATTGAACTGGGGATTGTAGAATATGAAAAAGTGGATTCAATAGCTGAACTTGTGGGTGGTTGTGTGCTCATGATCAGGCTGGATGGAGTCGCTATGCTGGTGGAAATTTCTGTTGTTCCTGTTGAGCCTAAACTTGATATGGAAATGGGGATAGTGGAAGATGAAAAGGTGGATTCAACTGCTGAACTTGCGGGTGGCTGTGTGCTCATGATCAGGCTGGATGGAGTAGCTGTGATGGTGGAAAGTGTTTCTGTTGAGACTGAACTTGGTATTGAACTGGGGATTGTAGAATATGAAAAGGTGGATTCAATAACTGAACTTGTGGGTGGCTGTGTGCTCATGATCAGGCTGGATGGAGTAGCTGTGATGGTGGAAAGTGTTTCTGTTGAGACTGAACTTGGTATTGAACTGGGAATTGTAGAATATGAAAAGGTGGATTCAATAGCTGAACTTGTGGGTGTCTGTGTGCTCATGATCAGGCTGGATGGAGTCGCTATGCTGGTGGAAATTTCTGCTGTTCCTGTTGAGCCTGAACTTGGTATTGAACTGGGAATTGTAGAATATGAAAAGGTGAATTCAACTGCTGAACTTGCGGGTGGCTGTGTGCTCATGATCAGGCTGGATGGAGTAGCTATGTTGTTGGAAATAATATCTGTTGAGACTAAACTTGATATTGAAATGGGGATAGTGGAAGATGAGAAGGTGGATTCAACTGCTGAACTTGCTGGTTGCTGTGTGCTCATGATCATGCTGGATGGAGTAGCTGTGATGGTGGAAATTGTTTCTGTTGAGACTGAACTTGGTATTGAACTGGGGATTGTAGAATATGAAAAGGTGGATTCAACTGCGGAACTTGTGGGTGGCTGTGTGCTCATGATCAGGCTGGATGGAGTCGCTATGCTGGTGGAAATTTCTGCTGTTCCTGTTGAGCCTGAACTTGGTATTGAACTGGGAATTGTAGAATATGAAAAGGTGGATTCAACTGCTGAACTTGCGGGTGGCTGTGTGCTCATGATCAGGCTGGATGGAGTAGCTGTGATGGTGGAAAGTGTTTCTGTTGAGACTGAACTTGGTATTGAACTGGGGATTGTGGAAGATGAAAAGGTGGATTCAATAGCTGGACTTGTGGCTGGCTGTGTGCTCATGATCAGGCTGGATGGAGTAGCTGTGATGGTGGAAATAGTTTCTGTTGAGACTGAACTTAGTATTGAACTGGGGATTGTAGAATATGAAAAAGTGGATTCAATAGCTGAACTTGTGGGTGGTTGTGTGCTCATGATCAGGCTGGATGGAGTCGCTATGCTGGTGGAAATTTCTGTTGTTCCTGTTGAGCCTAAACTTGATATGGAAATGGGGATAGTGGAAGATGAAAAGGTGGATTCAACTGCTGAACTTGCGGGTGGCTGTGTGCTCATGATCAGGCTGGATGGAGTAGCTGTGATGGTGGAAAGTGTTTCTGTTGAGACTGAACTTGGTATTGAACTGGGGATTGTAGAATATGAAAAGGTGGATTCAATAACTGAACTTGTGGGTGGCTGTGTGCTCATGATCAGGCTGGATGGAGTAGCTGTGATGGTGGAAAGTGTTTCTGTTGAGACTGAACTTGGTATTGAACTGGGAATTGTAGAATATGAAAAGGTGGATTCAATAGCTGAACTTGTGGGTGTCTGTGTGCTCATGATCAGGCTGGATGGAGTCGCTATGCTGGTGGAAATTTCTGCTGTTCCTGTTGAGCCTGAACTTGGTATTGAACTGGGAATTGTAGAATATGAAAAGGTGAATTCAACTGCTGAACTTGCGGGTGGCTGTGTGCTCATGATCAGGCTGGATGGAGTAGCTATGTTGTTGGAAATAATATCTGTTGAGACTAAACTTGATATTGAAATGGGGATAGTGGAAGATGAGAAGGTGGATTCAACTGCTGAACTTGCG